CTGGCCTCGGTCCAAAGTGATACAGAAGTTATTGTGGCCAGTTACGATAGATCTCAATTGGAACAAACCGGAACCGGTCTGGATTTTCTGTGTGAATGTAGTCTTAGATCAACATCTTCATATCTTATTCCTTGTAACTGTTACAATTTTTTTCTAAATTTTAGGTCATTTTTCACCACTGGCTGCTTTTCACTCTGGTTCTGATCAAGTGTTAATTATGGATGTAGCACGGTTCAAGTATCCACCTCATTGGGTTACATTAAGTCAGTTGCAGAAGGCTATGTGCAGTTTGGATCCTTCAACAAAGAGGCCGAGAGGTAAAGATAAAGTTTTGCATATTTTTCGCGGTGGTTATCTATAACCCCTTGCTATCGTGTTGTCACTTTTATCCTTTGAAGTCATTCTGTCGTGGATAAAGCTAACGTTCAAAACAAGACTAGTCTTGCAAAAAAAGTTTTTAGTTACAACCTCTTCCTGCAATTTTTGCAAATTCTAGCAACTATCGAAAACTGCTAAGCAACCCAACGTTATCACTGCTTAAATCGCTATTTCTGTCAACCCAGTAATTTTTCCCCTAAGTCACATATTTTTCCAGGATATCTCAGGCTAAAGCTTCGTACAGGCTCAAGACCCTTACTAGCCTTTGCCGTCAAAGCAAATCTTGGTTGCAATGATGCGGATGTGAGTTTACTCGTTACCTTAAAAAAATCAATTTTTTCTCAAATTTCAAAAATTTGAGTTTTTTCTCAGCGTTCAGAGAGCAACTGGAATTAAATACGGAACTTTTTTGACTAAAATTTTGGTCAACACCATTCAGAAATTTAGAATAACATTTGAATATCCTTGCTTTATTCTCGAATCCACTGAATTTATAGAAACAAATTTTTGATTTGCAGTTTGCAACGGCCGTTCTTTCATGGAAAGAATTTTTGCTTTGCGACGTAATGGATGATGAGAATGAGGAATTGCAGGTGAGTGAGTAATTTCTATTGTTATTAACTGATCGATATCTTTTCACTTGATCTTGGATCTTATAATCTTGCTTGCAAGAAGGATTGTAGTGTAATGTACATTTCTATAGCCGTGTTGAATGATTTTTATCTTATAAATTTGTGCTGCCTTTCAATATGCTGCTATGATTGGTGAAAGCCTATTTCCTGTTGGGAATTGTCTAAAAAAGAATTTTCTTTCTATATGTAGAGGTCAAGTGGCTTTGTTTTTAATTGAGATGATACAAAGAAAAGCATAATTTCCCAGTAAATCCCAATC